TCTCTCTCTCTCTCTCTCTTAGCGTCTATGATGTAGCGGTTAGGCGCTTCGCAGTCGCCCACGGGAGACCAGAATTTGATCTCCGAGTGGGGAGAATTTTCATTGACGTATCGATCTCGGTCTCCTCTGCTGGGATGTTAGCCCGGGTTGACCCTGACATGCAGGGATGGAAGCCTGCCTCCTGGTCGAGAAGAGTAAGCTTACAGCTCACAAAGTTTTAAGTAACTCACCAAATATTTAGGCAAATAAGCTCGCCACAATTAGGAAAGAGAAAAAATGGGTTTAGTATGTCTGAAAAGTTGGCCGACGAGCGTTTCTTCTTTCTTGAATGTCAAAGGTCATCCCCAGTTTCTGATACTATTGCTAATATTTGTGTGAGGCATCACGGTGAAATCATCATTATCATTGCCTTTCTCACGCTGCACCAGGGTATAGGTTACGAACAAACATTTTCCACCTTTCTCTATTCTGGACTAGCCTCTTGATGTTATTCCATGTCTTCCCACTTTTCTGTTAATCAATTTCTGTGATTCTTCTCCACGTACCATGCTATCTTCCCCTTGATCTTTTACCCAGTGGATTCCAATCCAACACTGGTGAAATCAGGCGCTAGTCAAAAATGAAATCGAAGTAATAATAATATAATCGATATTTTTCTGCCCATTGGGACACTTTCATTGATTTTAAAAATTTTGACTAAACACCTCGTTCTTCCGTCTAAAAATACATTTCTGTAAAGACTTAACTGAAAAACAAAAGTTGATCAAAAAGGCGCAAAAATATAAATGAGCAGTTTCCAGGGACACTCAACCTTTGAAAGTCAACAAAATTTTGTAGTCCTTTTCTAGCTAATTTTTTACTTTTGACACCAGACGACCTACACCCTACACTCTCTTCACTCGCAAATTTTTCGACTCCAATCAAGATAGAATAGGTTTGGTTTTAAAAAAAAATCCAAAGCAGGACCGATGAACAATAAATGAAAGATGATACCAATGATTCCACAATAAGCCCAAAATTGACGAGCACCTGATTCCATCGCGATGACCCACAATTACTCTAGCATGAACGTTCTGTGTTGAAGAATAAAATCCACTTGTTTGAAAACCGAAAAGCTTGCAGGTTTTATTCACATTTTATAGATCCACACGTTTAGTGGCTTAATTTATTGCAATATGCTTAGAGACATTGGAGGTGTTCAGAAACAATCAACGTATTGAGTTTCTCTAGAATATATTTCATTTCTCAAAGCAGAACATTCAATAACCAATGTGCAATGTAAACAGAAAAAAAAAGATTTGTTCCGTATATTCATCAAGAAGAATATTTGATCACCAAAGCCCGTAGCTTTCCCAGCGTCAGTTCTTTATACTTCTCCCCAAAGTGATTCCTGGCGAATAAAAAAAAGTACATGACACAAATATAATGTGTGTTCCTTTTTCTCTGTCAAATTAAGTTACATACGACGTACGATATTACACCTTGTATAATGTGAACCTGTAAGAATTTCGCGATCAAACATAACCTTTTTCTGCAGGCGTGAAGGTTTCTAACTTATTTCGCATAACAAATAGCACTCATTTGAGTTATACTAGCCTCCCTTAGAAATTTAGAGTTTACCACGATAAACGCTTCTGAAATCTATCACAAATACATGTAACATACAATTGCGTTTACATACTACTTTGTGACATAAACACTGCTCTGAACAAATCTTGAAAATTCAAGATCGGTCAATGATTGATTTCTTTACAGAGTAAGTTTTAAAAATAATATAGACATTCTTTATTATAACCAACCAAAGAGCTTATATTTATAGGTTTGTTGAAAGGTTGAACAAAACATTAGTGTTTTTGTATAAAGCTGAGAGACCAATGAGGGATCCAGGCTTGTCCGCGGTTGAGTAATGAGCCGTTCTCTAGAAGAAAAAAAATCCTGTCATCGGTGTCGCGTTGGTATTGATGATAAATTAGACAAATTGATAGTAACTCAAGTTCCTGAGTTTTGTGGTAACGAATGACGCCCGTGAGCGAAAACTGTCAATTTCTTCTGTCTGTCAGTCTGTCTGTCTGTCTGTCTGTCTGTCTGTCTGTCTGTCTGTCTGTCTGTCTGTCTGTCTGTCTGTCTGTCTGTCTCTCTCTCTCTCTCTCTCTCTCTCTCTCTCTCTCTCTCTCTCTCTCTCTCTCTCTCGTATTCAAGGCCACCATCCGCGCTATTTACCGATTAGCGCAATGTTACGATTGCGATGCGCGTTTTAACTATCGTATAATTGTACAGCAATCTAAAAATTGCGTTAATATTTTATACTTTAAAAAATAATAATAATAAAAAATTCACTTCCATCTTTATTTTTTTTTTTTTTACGAAAGAGGCTAGCCGTACTTAATTACGGCCTGCCATTTCGTACTTTTTCTCAAATCAAGGAACATTCACATGTATTTTCAAAAGAGTAAAAGTAAGAAAATTAAAATTAAAATTAACATATTATGAAACTGAAGAGCTCACAAGAATGATACAATTATACGATAGTTAAAACGTGCAGCGCAATCTTAAGATTGCCGCGCAATTAAACGATCATTAAAACGCGCAGATTTTGCGCCGATCGGTAAAGAGCGCAAAAAACATGCATATATTATTTTCAGGCATTATTTATATATTCACACACCCACCAATGGTTCAGGTAGTGGAACATGACATACAGCTCCTCCCTGTCTTCAAAGCCTGGCTGCTTTGGAAGGACACTATGGTAGGCGGTGGAGAACTTGGCGTCATACTCGTTGAACATCTTGGCCAGAGCAACGTCATACTCCGAGTGTCCGTAAAAACATGCAGGGTCGAAAATAACTGGGGAAAAATGTGCTTCCATCTAAACATCGATTTTAAAGTTTCATGTCTTTCATAATAATATATAGTCCTATTATTTAAGACGAAAATAATTCAATTACTCTCACCCAGAAATAAATTTGTGGCGAACTGTTTCTTGCATCTAAATACATGTAATACATTTACTTTACATAAAATAGACGCGCTTATATTATATGCATTCCTATTTTAAAAATTACAGAATCAACCAGTCACTAATTTGCCAAACAATAATGACCAATTTATCATCTAAAGCTTCAAGCGACTTTTTCTACCAACAAACAATCAAACAAACGAAAACAAAACCAAACAAACAACTTATAAACAATTAGATCTAAGCAAACAAACAAACAAACAACTTATAAACAATTAGATCTAAGCAAACAAACAAACAATCAAACCAAAAGAATCAAACCAAACAAATCAAAGCAAATTTTGAAAATCATGGTTTCCAGATTTGTACCCAAAAATATGCGAAGACACTGATAGTCATTTTTGTTGACGGAAAACTAAGGTGATAATTAATAATGTCCTGAAAGAAAAAAAAGTACACATGTAACTGCACTTTTCACAATCACTAAAAGGTAAATTAAAGACAAAGAAAGAGCAATAAAAATGAATGGATGAATGAATGGATGAATGAATGAATGAATGAATGAAAAACAAGTCCCGAAGGATCCCAGCGAACTATTGCTGTGTATTTCTAAAATGTAGTGACGAAAAAAAACCCCAAAACGTATGTACTGGTGATGTCAGAAGCGTTGTTTGTACCAAATTTTGCTCCTCCCTCAAGCAGCAATTCCCCTCACTCTCTCAGTCCGGGTTCGAACCAGCTGCTTCACCTTCAAAGTACCATGAGGCACAGATAACACACGGTAAACTCAATTTCAAGGATAGCTTGTACAATTTGCCATTCCATGATTGATATTTTATCTTTAATGTTTCGCTACTACACAGTCGAACCTGTGTAAGACGGAATTGCAAGGGAGCCAGAAAAAAATTCCGTCTTAGACAGGGGAATTTAGGGGGAGATTGAGGTTGGGGGGGGGGGGGGGGGGTTCAAAGGCCCAGCCGGTGGGATCAAGGATCGCTTGTCCGATCGGCAAGCAGTGGTCAAAACTTCACACCTCTCAGCTGCTATCCTGTCTGATAATGACATGCGTCAGTCTTACTTTTCCAATTACCACCAGTGTTTGCCTTTCATAGGATCACTGTTTGACCTATTAAAAACAGAAACGTTTGAACATCTCCTTTGCTTCCACCCTTAGCCCCACCCATCGGTGTAACAAGCACAGTCAACCAATGCCACCCCTCACTGCCATCATGTAACAACGATTCGTGGAACTCTTTTCTCGGCAGGCATTGGTCAAACTAATTTCACACCTCTGACTTTTGGCTTGGCTACCCAAGAAAGTTTCCGTCGTGGCTCGCTACTCGAGCACTCTCACGGGCTGTCGCGAGATTTCACACTCACATTACACTGACCATCTGCACCGTTCAGGGCTCACATGATGGGGTAACATTTACCCCCAAATTGCTCCCCTACTCCCCTTCCTCGCCCAGCGGCATGACCATAGCGTTAAGTTTAGAGCCGGCGGAACCACATTTGCGAGTTTTGTTTCAAATCAGGGTTGAGCGGGCAAAGCATTTTCCGTCTTAGACAGGTGAAACCCTCGGTAGGGAGCGGATTTTTTTTCCGTTTCCGCGTTGGACAGGTTTCCGTTTTATACAGGTAATTAAAGAGGAATATATATCAAGGGGGAAGCGGGGAGATTCCGTTAAGACAGTTTTCTGTTTTACACAGGTTTCCGTTAAGGCAGGTTCGACTGTACATGTACCATCAGCAGATAACTCATACGGTAAACTCAATTTCAAGGATTGCTTGTACAATTTGCCATTCCATGATTGATATTTTATATCTTTAATGTTTCGCTACTATATCGGTTTACCCGAATTTTGAAAAGGCCGCTGTGCCGAACACATTTCGCTACTTCAGAATTAAGCCAACAAAGTTCTATCTGCCCAGTACCTAGTTTGGAGAAATTTGGCGTCAAATATTTTGAGCTTCACAATCATTGAATACCTTGATAACGACTCATCGTAATTTTACGATTTTGATAGAGCAGTTGATTTCTGATCTCATGGTTACCCGAAAAGGCCAAAAATGACATATATAGAACATTGCAATTCTAAGGTAGAACTAGCGATTTGCCAATCTCTGACGAGTTTAAATATCCATGCTTGACTGCGCAATGCAAATTATTGTCTAACTAATTGGGTTACACGGGAATTATTCTTATTTTTAACTCACTCGGCTGGTCCTAAAATCAATAAGAGCTGACTTAGGCCGCCACCTGAGCAAAAAAAAAAATTAATTCCTGCCAAACGGAAAATGTTTTTTTTTATATGTGTCCTGCACGGTCTTTGATAGGACCTTACGCAGTTGCGAGCGTCGTAACCCCCCCCCCCCCCAAAAAAAAATTAAAAAAAAAAATTAATAAATTAAAAAAAAAAAAAAAATATATATATATATAGAGAGAGAGAGAGAGAGAGAGAGAGATCTATATAAAATTAAAAAAAAAAAAAGTAAAAATAACAATAAAAATAAAATGAAATAAAATAAATAAAATGAAATGAAATAACATGAAAACATAAATAGATTAAATAACCAAAAAAAACAACAACAACAACAAACAAAATTCTTCAACAATGTCTTCAACTTTCCTGAGAAATTTGTTGTTTTGTTTTTTCAAATTTGTGCACCTTGCCTAAGCTAGTTTTCTAGAATTCTTTCAGAAGCTCTAAGAAGATATCTGCAAGCCACAAGAGCGGTAAAAATCCAGCCTCCAGTTCACTCTCACACTATTACTACACGCAAAAAAGGTTTGAAATGTTCTCGACCCACATGCATTATTATATTATGCAGATTTTGCATTTAATTTTATTTAGACCCAAAGAAGAGAAGCATTTGAAGTACAAATTACATCTGTCTCCCCCCGGATTGTCTTTCGTATGTTTTCAAAACTGCAACCATTCATTTATTGTCTCACCTTTTCTGTTACTAATTTGATGTGCTGCTCAATTTTTCTTGCAAAAAATGCCTGAAAAGATGTAGTGGAAAAACAATCAAAGAAAGTACATGTACAATAATAAGGAGTATATCAATAATAATAATAATGATAATAATAATAATAATAATAATAATAATAATAATAATAATAATAATAATAATAATAATAATAATGATAATAATAATAATAATAATAATAATAATAATGATAACAATAATAATAATAATAATAATATTAATAATAATAACAATAATAATAATAATAATAATAATAATAATAATAATAATAATAATAATAATAACAATAATAATATAACAATCATAATACTATTTACATATTATATTAGTGAAAGTTCGTCACTTTCGTCGCCTAAAACTTCCGAACCACACAACTTTCCAATTTGACAAAATTATTAAAGGGCGCACGGTTTCATTGATGAGCCTGAAGTCACTGTAGTTTACTTTTCAGTTTTTCATTAGTTTCGTTTAAATGTAATCTTAGGAAAGTCCGTCTTCTAAGATGCCACTGTAAACAAGTGAGGTTTCCGTTCACTAGCCGTGCGCACTCTTCCACACCTTTAAAATTATGGAGTGTACAACTGCAAAAGCGGAATAGAGAGAGAATCAATCTATACATCTATTACAGATTTGGCAACTTGGAAACGCATGACATGTGTCACTTTTCTCTCAAGATGTATTGCTCCATTCCAGTAGAGTGTATAGTAGGCCAATGACCTTCAGTTGATGTTAATGCACTGATCATCCCTTTCATCGAAAGGGGGCCCAGCTTGTAATAATAATAATAATAATAATAATAATAATAATAATAATAATAATAATAATGATAATGATAAAATGGATACTAATAATAATGATGATAATAATAAAAATGATAATGATTATAATGATGATAATAATGATAATAATGATGATGATCAATAATGATAAAATGATAATGATAATAATAATAACAAAGATAATTATGATGATATTAATAGCACACATTACGCAGTATTGTGAAGTTGTGTGTGTCTACCTTCTTTATCTGTCTGTCTGTCTGTCTGTCTGTCTGTCTGTCTGTCTAATGTTTTTAATTCTTCATGACTGCCTCTCCTTCATCTTGTCTCTCTGTCTGTCTGTCATCCATTTGCTCAGTTGGTAGCATGATGAAAAATTACACGGGTGGCTTCTCCGGCCGATCCCTTTGCCACGAAAAGGGGCTGCTGCAGTTCGTTTTGCACCAAAAAAGGGCTACTTATGTTCGCTTTGCTCTAAAAAAAGGGCTACTATCGGTCCCTTGGCCCTGAAAAGGGGCTTCTTCCACTGGTCCCTAGACAAGGAAAAGGGCCACTGCTTGCCTTTGACCCTGAAGAAAGGCTGCCCACCTCTGGAAAAAGAGGGCTTATAATGCCGGTCCCTATTGGCCCTGAAAAGGGTCTACGCTTGTCCATGGACCCTGAAAAGGGGCTGATCGTGGCTCCTCAGCCCTGAAAAGGGCTACTGTTGTCATTTGGCCGTGAAAAGGGGCTGCTGCCAGTCCTCTAGCTCTGAAAAAGGGCCAATGCGTTTGTTGCTCCCCTCAATTTTTTGCTCCGGAAAAGGGCTACTGCTGCCCTTTGGCCCTGAGACAAGGGCTACTGTTGTCCTTTAATTGGCCCTGAAATAGAGGGCTTCTTCTGCCGCTCCCTTGGCCCTAAAAAGGAGCTACTCTCGTCCCTGAGCCCAGAAAAGAGGGTAATCCTGGCCCCTTAGCCCTGAAAAGGTCTACTGCTGGTACCCCGGCTCTTAAAAGGGGCTACGCTACTCCTGGTCACCTGGTCCTCAAAAAAGGCTACAGACAGACAGACAGAAACAACAGAGGGAAAGTAAACACGTAGGACCTGCTAGCAGCGCCCTCCAACCACCCACTTGCAAGTGTTTACTTTGGGGAAATATTCCGCATGCTTAAAACAGCACAAGAAATTCTGGTGTTTTAGATGAAGTTATCTCTATCAACATATTGCTAATGTCGTCACAGAGAGTTGAAAGCTTGAAAATTAACGGCAACTATTTGGCAACTTTTGACATTTTTAGGGCAACTTTTGGCTACTTTTGGGAAAAAATGGCAACAAATGCAGATGCTAGCATAATACACGTACGTATTCTGGCAGGAGGGGGTTTTCAATTCACGCCCTTAGTTGGGTGTGGGGGGAGGGGCGAGTAGGCGCTATCGTGTATACGATAATATAACCTCTGCAGCAAGTGGTAAATACCAGCCATGAGTCCGACCACTCGTTGTCTTGAGGGAAAAACCCAAAATAGTTGGACGTCGGGAAGCCAAATTTCTCAATGAAAGACAAGGTGGGGTCCTTGTGTATTGAGCGTTCCGCTTTCTCCGCGCGGGTGCGTGATTCAGAATTATGAAGATGAAGTCTGCAGAAGAAATCAGAAGAAGGCAGCCCTTTCTTCATAACAGCTTTTGAAATTATCGTTTATTATCTTTGACAAAAACAATTATATATATAATATCAATAAAATGAGTCTAATTCTGAAGAACAGAAGCATCTCAATAAGACCAAAAAAAAAAGTTTTAAAAGCGTTGTGTCGTCAACCCCTTTATAATAGGCTGTGGGTGTTGGACAATACCAAAGAAGGTGTGGATAAATATGAAGAAACAATAATGTGATTTTGGGGAGAAACTGTTCAGAATTCTATGGAAGGAAAAGATCAAATGAAATCTTTCTAAAAAAAAGTCCAAAGTTGGCTGCTTACTGATAAAGATAATTAAAAGAAAAAAAGTTTAAGCGGTTTTGGGGACACGAATAGACATAGATCTGGATGCCTTGAACATTTTGCTTAGGGTTGAAATCCATACTCCGCGGTTAAGAATAAAGTTATGTACAACAGAGTCTCGACATAATAAAGACTTCCCAACACAGGAATCGAACCCTCTTCCTCAGCCTGCAACGGCTGAGACCCTACCCTACTCCACAGAACAGGTTTTTTTTTTCTTTTTTCACCAGAAAATGGGAAACATACTTTGTGGTTTTGTGGAAAAAAAGTTTTTTTGTACATCAATCGCACACTTGTTACACACGATGGCCAGACGCAGTCTATAGATATTAATAAATAACATCATCTTATTGATCAACTGTAGGCCTCTGCATATCTTTTACAACTCCTTCAACACAATTTATGTTATTCACAAAGCAGGAATGATAATATTATTGAAGGAATTGAATGAACAAATCATTTAACCCTGTCCGTACGTCGTGTTTTACTATCGTATCCATACGACGTGGGGAACTCTGTGCCACCACTTTCCAAAGAGGAAATGTACAAGTTAATCTGATCCGTACGCTTTGCTTACTCAAGTCTGTAAAAATGATTTTTTGAGAAATGCTGAAAGTTTCAAAGAGATCTTCGCACAAGAAGTATTCTAAAATATGAAGAATACAAGCCCGGAGGTACAAAATGACCCCAGGGCGTACGGATAGGGTTAAGCTGCAGGCGGTTGGGTCGTTAGTGGGCTGTTGCCAATACGCCCGCTACCTATACATCCTTTGCTGCGGCTTTCAATACACTTATTTGGTAATTTTCAACAAAACTCATAAAAATACAATCAAGGTTCTCAAAAGACATACCGAGCCATTTGTTCTCCCAAGGTCTCAGTCCATTTGGAGAGATGTTTGAACTCGGTAAACTCCATGACTAAAGCAGCAGGACCTCCAGACGCCGCTATCACCTGGACCAGGTATACGTAGGACGTAATAGTAATTTTAAAAAATAATAATATGTGAGGCAGCGTGGTGGAATCAGGCTCTCGTCAAAATAATCAAAGTGAAGAAACTTGCAGTTTTACGCAGGTGTGTAAATTTTTATCAAATTTTTGTTTTTTGGCTCAACACATTTCAAGCTCGTTAAGGAACTCATTCCTATGTGGATTTTTCTGAAAAGCGTTGATTAAAGGCACAAAAATGTACATTTTTTCAGTTACCACGGACTCTTAAGCTAACTAAATAATGATCTTTTGCGGTCATTTTCTCACTAATTTTACCTCTGAAAACAGCTGACCCCTACCTCCTTCTTTCGCAAATATCCCGACTTGTATTCAAGAATGATAAATGGATATTTTTTTCATTCAAATAAAGACAAGTGAACAAGCTTTAAGATGATACCAACCACTCTACATACTCAAAAATTGACGAGAGCCTGATTCCACCACGCTACGCTGCCTCACATATGAATATTGAGGTGATAAGCTGTCTCTTTGTGTCCATAGAGATGTTTGGATGAGATAGGAGGGGTGCAAGCTGGTAGGTGACAGTGTTGGCTTTTTGAGTCCACATTTCTAACAATAGTAATAGCTTACTTAATACACGAAAATGTTACTACTTGTAGACCTGCACTGCCCGCTCATAATATTATAACCTTATACCGTTGCGAGCGTCCTAAAACTCTTAATACGCGGTGCCCATTGCGGATGGGATCGGGTCGGGTCAGGTCGGGTCCAGAGCGATCGCCCGACTCGTCGCCTGAAATACGGGGTGCCCACTACGTCTGGATCTGGCCGATCGCCCGACTCGTCGCCTGAAATACGGGGTGCCCACTACGTCTGGATCGGGCCGATCGCCCGATTCGTCGCCTGAAATACGGGGTGCCCACTACGTCTGGATCTGGCCGATCGCCCGACTCGGTCGCCGGAAACTGAAAACAAATGTTTTCACGTATATTTTTTAGGCGACCGAGTCGCCCCGATCGGCTGATCCCATCCGTAGTGGGCACCCCGAAAAGACGATTAGTCGGGCGCCATCAGCTTGTGCTACGGTAGCCGCTTTGGGCCCTCAATCTGACCAACAAACCGACCCGACCCCACCCGATCCTCCAAAGGGCACCCCATATTAACTAAACTAAAACTAAGACCTGCACCTATTTTGTGAGCATGACAATGAACAGCTATGATCTGCAATCGTCAAGATGGTGTTCTATGATGTAAAAAGCCCGTTTCGTATACATATACAACAAATAGGCGTCAGGCCTACGATTAACACTTTACGGCTGATTTTTTGTGCGCGAAGTTCTTACTGCGTTGTATGGCTCATTAGTAACTCGTGACCTTTTTTTTGTAGTACACCCAAAGGAACCAAGAACAGCCAAAATAAAAACTGATACAAAATACAGGTGTATTGAAAACCTGCTAGGATATGAAATCAAGCCATACTCACCAATGAAGAATTTGTAGGTCTAAGGCTTACAATTACCGAATTAAGTAAGTAAGGGTTTAAATGAAAGGGTTGGAAAACTGCTATCTGTTCAGAAATTAATGTTTCGAGATCGAATCGATGCGTAAAAAGCAGAAGTATAGCTTTAAAACTAAGCCATTTAAGAGGAGGGGCCTCCGAACGGAACGTTCGTCTCCGATAAGACCCATTCAGCTTGAAAACTCCTGAAAACAACGAGAGCTCAAACGACATCTGTTCAGTAATCCAGCATGATACCAACTACTGAGTTAATGGAGGCCCCACTTAGTCCGTTTCAGTTGTGATTTTTTAAAAGGGACTTGGGGATAAGACACTTTTTTCTTTCCTTGTCATACAATGGTACTGCACTGACGCATTAAAAATACTGCACCTTTATTGGCGAAGGAACTTTCACAACTCCGGTGTCCTTTAAAGTGAGAAGACTTTCAAACTCTCCTTGGAACATGTCAAAAGCCTGAGAGAAATTCAGAACATAGATTATATATATAATTATATGCGTATAAATCGTTGTATACAAAACAAAAAGAACATTTCTCTTTTTAATTCCAAGAATTGAAGATTATAATAATTATATGATATGCATTGGGTGGTGTGCGATAATAGCGTTAACATAATATGACGGGTCAGAAACCAGAAAAAAATACATGCCAAAGTCAGCCCAAAAAGTGACTGATATAATATCATTTTTGTGTTTCAAGCTCGAACCCCCGAACCGGCAACCTCACGATTACGAGTCCGGTAGCCTCACCACAAGGCTACCGACGCCATTAACAAGCCTGAAGATAATAATATCAACTCTATATGCCCAAAAATTGGCGAGCGCATAGTTCCACCGCCTCGTGACACATAATAATAGGGTTCAAAAGTAAGGCCTGACAGTGCTTGTATAAAAATAAATGGCAAACAAATAGAGAGGCACGGTGGTGGAATCAGGCTCTCGTCAAAATAATCAAACTTAAGAAACTTGCATTTTTCCGCAGGTTTGTGGATTTTTATCAAATTTTTGTTTTTTGACTCAACACCTTTCATGCCCATTAAAAACTAATTTCTGTGTGGATTTTTCTGAAAAGCATTGAATAAAGGCACAAAAAATGTAAATTTTCAGTTACCACGGACTCTTAAGCTAAGGAAATAACTATCTTTGGCCGCCATTTTCTCACTAATTTTACCTCTGAAAACAGGTGACCCCCACCTCCTTCTTTTGCAAATATCTCGACTTGTATTCAAGAAAATGGATATCTTCTTCATCCAAATAAAGACAAGTGAACAAGCTTTAAGATGATACCAATAACTCTACCTGCCCAAAAATTGACGAGAGCCTGATTCCACCACGCTGCCTCACATAAAGACTTCAGAGGGGAAATACTATTTGCCGTTTTCGCCTTGTGTGAAACCACACGCCCTAAGTGCAAACAGTTTGTTAGCCCTTACTGCAACCAGTTTGTTAGCCCTTACTGCAACCAGTCTGGTAAAAATGGTGAAATGGTATAGGTTTATTCGTGCAAAGTACATTTCCCAAGGATGCAATGTCGGACTGCAACCAGTCTGTCTGCGTGCAACATTATGTCACTTCATACATTGAAGGGGTAAGCTTGGGGCACGTATGCTTCTCTACTCAGTCTACTGATTTTAAGAGAAATCCTTCTGCTGATATAACACAATGTATCGTATGGAGATGGGCAGAGGAAGATGGAGAGAGAGAGAGAGAGAGAGAGAGAGAGAGAGAGAGAGAGAGAGAGAGAGAGAGAGAGAGAGAGAGGGAGAGAGAGAGAGAGAGAGAGAGAGAGAGAGAGAGAGGGAGAGAGAGAGAGAGAGAGAGAGAGAGGGAGAGAGAGAGAGAGAGAGAGAGAGAGGGAGAGAGAGAGAGAGAGAGAGAGAGAGAGAGAGAGAGAGAGAGAGAGGAACAGACAGACAGACAGATAGACAGACAGACAGACAGACAGACAGACAGACAGACAGACAGACAGACAAAGGGACAGACAGAGGAACAGACTAAGACAGAGTCAATACATCATTATATATCTGAAAATGTTTTATTTTAATCAATAGCACATATGGCAATAAATGCTTAGAAATAGTTTCGGATGATACCTGAGGGCTTTTTGTGAACTTAATGAAAACACGACCCCGATCTGTTTCAAAGCCGCGCCCTTCACAAATGGCCCCTTTTCTTGTGTAGCCAGTCTGGCGTAGGATTGAGGTGCCTAGCTCCTGCTTGATCTGTTCATCCACTGACTCCTCCACTGCTGTTCTCTGTCAACGTAACACGAAGAGAATGATAGATCTAATAATAATAATAATAATAATAATAATGATAATAATAATAATAATAGATCTAATAATGATAATAATAGACCTGATAATAATAATAATAATAATAGATCTAATAATAATAATAATAATAATAATAATAGATCTAATAATAATAATAATAATAATAATAATAATAATAATAATAATAATAATAATAATAATAATAATAATAATAATAAAAACAAAAAATAATAATAACAAGAACAAGAACAAGAATAAGAATGAATAGGGAATACGAATAAGATAACAACAACAATAACCACGACGACCACGACGACGACGACGACGATGATGATGATGATGATGATGATGATGATGATGATGATGATGATGATGATGATGATGATCATATATTTAATATATGATTTGACGTACATACTATTTCATATCCATACCACTTCTTGCCATAGCCTTAAATTTTTCTCTGGTCTTCCCGATTTGTTTTTATCGCTCCTTTTGATATTATGACGTGTATGCGCGCACTTTTTTTGCTATAGCGTGTAGTCAATAGATTTTCCCATTATATTTTTTGTACATGTTCCTGAAGAAGCCCTTTACCGGGCGAAACGTCGAACGAGCTGTGTATAATACATATTTTCTGGAAATACAACAAGGTCTTAACTGTTTTAATACCTTCTTTATACAATGATGATGATGATGATGATGATGATGATGATGATGATGATGATGAAGAGGAGGAGGAGGAGGAGGAGGAGGATGATGAGGATGATGATGATAGACTAATAATAACAGTAATACAATTAAACCAGAGGGAAACTGGTAAATTTTTACTTATGCACCCACACAGAGATGCACTGATTTGAGGGGGGCTCTCGTGGCCAAGAGGTTAAGGTGTTGGCCTCTCATTCAAAGGTTCCAGGTTCGAATCCGGGTAGCGACCGAAACATTTTCTTCTCTAAATTAGGCTCCTTTCACCTCACTTCCTGCTCTCTAGCAATGTTCTGTCGTCTGCTTTCGTCTCCTCTTTCAGCCCCCACCCCCTCACCTCCTTTGCCCCTTCCTCTGGGCTCCTGATTCTTTCTGCAGCCTTTCTTCTGCTACTCCTTCGCTTCTTTAAAGTGAGCAACTTGAACACGTGCCCTCCGAGATTTTTAGCCCTTACCCGAGAAGGTTAGGTGTGGATCTTTCCTATCAGAAGATCAGGGGTGTGGCAGAAAGACAGCAGTAAGGAGGAGCCGGGAGTAGCAGTAGAAAGGCTGCAGAAAGAGTCAGGAGCCCAGAGGAAGGGGCAAAGGAGGTGAGGGGGCGGGGGCAGAAAGTGGAGACGAAAGCAGATGACGGAATATTGCAAGAGAGCAGGAGACGAGGTGAAAGGAGAACATTTTAGAGAAGAAATATTTCCGTCGCTACCCGGATTCGAACCCGGGACCTTGGAACGAGATGCAAACACCTTAACCTCTAAGCCATGAGAGCCCCCGTAAGAGTTTTATTGCTCAGACAATACAATAAGTCACAATAAGGTCATGCTGAAGATTTGAGGTGTTAGAAACTTACAAGAGAGTAACAAACACAAAAAAGAGGGAAGAAAAGGTCGACAGTTGTTTAGCAGGAAAAAAAAAGCAAATCACACCAGAACACCCACCAACCACTCACTAGCAATGACTGACTTTGTCAATAAATGTTTGTTTCAGTGTAATTAAGTGTTTTATGGCACTTGCGACACAAGAAGGTCTAGTAAGTAATAGAGATTTGAGATGTTACAAGAAAATAACAAACACAAAACAAGAGGGAGAGAAGAGAAGGACGTAAATATGTCCTGGATCTTCCATTTTTTCAATTTGCTTTTTTCTTTTTTTTTTTTAGCTTTCGGTGAGATATTTTATTCCACAGCTTCCATTTATGAGTTTTTCATTTTCCTCCAGAGTTCTTCCGATTTAGTAATGTTTTCCAGAGCTTGGAATTTCTTGTTTACATCTATACAGAAACATTCTTTCAGTTCTTTATTTGTCATTAAAAAGATCTACGTCAAATTCTCGTTGGTACTTTGACTTTTTAAGTTTCTTCAGTCTCTTCGTCATTTTACACACGACTGGTATATGGCCACTATCACAGTCTGCTCCTGGTCACGATTTAGACAATTTTATTGCATTTCTAAAACATTTCTGAATGAGTATGAAGTCTATTTGGTTTCTACTTCTATCGCCAGGACTCTTCCAGGTGTATCGTCTTCTCGAGTGATTTTCCTACCAGGTGTTTGGAATCACAAAATCATTTTCTCTGTACCATTCTATCAGTCGCTCGCCACGTTCATTCACTTTAACCAATCCCCATGGGCCAACTCTTCTATACGTGTGCCTCCTAATTTCGCGTTAAAATCCCCCATGACCCTGGTTAATCTTGTGATTTTAGCTGTTTCATTGCCTTATCAAGGTCTTCATAAAAGGTCACTACTTGCTCGCAGTCATTCTCTGATGTTGGTGCGTAGTACTTGGATGACATTTATCTTTAGTTTTTCCTTGAAATTTATAATAATATAGCCACAATGACTCTTTCTGACACTCGCCGATAACCTATGATGCTTTTTAAATGTTGTTTCATTAAATAAAATTCGTATTACTTTTTCAAGGGTTTTCTCTTCCCGAATATAGACCAACAATTGTTTAGGAACCTCTTTTGATCAAACCTACTCCCTCCCATCTAACTTCTGAAAGGCCTCACTTTTGCTAGAGGGAGAAAATTACGCTTTTACTAAAAGCTAAGTATTTACAAGGATTACGACCCTTGAGTTATTTTCTGTCGAAATTGTCTAAGACGGTCACCCATTGTGGAGAAGAATTTAAGTGGTTGTCCTTGACAGGTGGAAGTCTTTCGCAACGTCATGTTATAACGTTACCCCCCCCCCCCAACCCCAGCAACAACAGCAACAGCAACAACAACAACAAAACCACAAGTGGCTGTTTTTACAAGATATTGTCTTACAAAAGACCGTTTAACACGTACTGCATTCCCCCATTGACCCCTCTCCCCCTTCCCCTCAAGAAATGTCAAAAAGTTATTTCCTTTTTTTCACCAATGTATTTTTTTTTACGCCTCCATTGACACGATTTAGATCTTTTAGGTGGCGGGCTTCCTAATGTACCGGTAAAACGGACACAATGCCTCATATTACAATACGTAACTGCACTGAAAGGGGCGTTAAACCTTTAGATTATTATACATGTATTTGCCATAGGACCAACATACGACGCACTAACCATTCTGTCGTTTTCCCCGTGACCAGTGACCAGAGTCCACAGGAAGGGGAATCACTCTAGAATAAGAATCCAACAGGTTGTGAGTGACCACGCCTGAATGAATGCGTGCTTTCTCATCGGAGGCAGGCGTGCAGGATGAAAAATCGAAAGTAGGCCGCGTGACTGACCATTGTTGATAGTTACAATACACTTTTCGGGTGCATTATTTCGGAGTTAGCTGTGACTTTGCACTTCTGCGAACGGAAAAAGAATTACAAAATGATAATATTTTAAACGTTACATATTTTGATCTGTTATGATAGATCTATCATTTACGTTTGCACAACAGCCACCTTTCCTCTACTAGTACTAGGGCGCAAAATAATAGGCCTACATGTAATGTGATTTTTAAAAAAAGTTTTAGTAAGCATTTTACGGCACTTACAACAAAAGTAGGTCATCACATAAGGCCCGACGATCAGAGGTGTTACAAGAGAGTAACAAACGCAAAAAGAAGGAGAGATAAGAACGATAGGTGTTTTTTAGGAAAGAAGGAACAAACCACACCAGAGCAGCCACCAACAATCGGCTCTTAAATTTAATTGTATGCAATGTTTAATTGCTTTGCTTGTTTGGGTAAAGAGAAGTACACCGAAACAAGTATGGTCGTATAATGCTGGGAAAATGCAATATAAACAGATAAGATGCGATAGATAGAATTTTAAGAAAAGGAGTCGGACCTTCATTATTAGTTCATTTATGTTAAGAGACGCCCGAGATATGGCCATCAAAATTGACCTAAAAAATCAGGCTTGGCAAAATTGTGCAAAATCAGACAAAAACAAAAGTGTGTTCACATGTGTATGTTTATGTGCACCAACACTGGTGGAATGGACATGTATGAATATTAAATGAATAGAGAATATTATTGTCTCTGCAATGAACAGCATCTTCTGGAGATATTTTCAGATCGGAGAACAAAGCAGTTACAAATATCGCACAAAAACCTGGATTTAAGTTTTAACATAACGTGTGCTCATTAGTATTAGATCTAATGAAGTTTTTGTTTAGAAGCTAAAGACTTCGTGTCACGAAACCTTTTTTTAATTTGCACATGAACTGTGTTGGTTAGATTTTGGACATAATCATTTGTCAGGGATGAAATGAGCCCACAAAACTGCCATGTTTTGCGTGGTCTGGTGTGGCATGAACATAACCGTCTTCATGAGAATCACTGGATGGTGCAGTTTAGTGGACTACATCCCTTAAGTGCTGGAACGTCATGTCTTACCCTTTTTTTTGTCCAGGTGTATTTTTGTCCAGGTGTCATTCGGGTAGTCATCTCCATGTATAGCAAAGAACTTTCTTACAGGGCCAATGCCACTAGATAATTCTTGGAAAACCAAATCAAAGCGACGTTGGAGTGGTCACCAGTAAATAGCCACGCTGTGACTCCTACAGGTATGTGATGAGTGAAGTACCATGAAAGAGCAGCTGAAGAAAAGCTACTTGCTCCGAATTCAGACCCTTTTTTTTGTAACTCTCTGTGATATTTGGGATGAAATGACGGATAATTATGTCTAAAATCTAACAGAGTTGATACCCAAACGGTTCGAGCACTATACAAAACGAATGGTTCCTAAGCAAAATAACAATGGGAACATGTAATATTTAAGTCAAAGTTTTGCATGGCATTTGTGATTACTCTATTTACCGTTTTGTTTGAAAGTTTCGTGACAAAATATCAAAATAGAAATATATTGTTTGTTGCAATACAAAATACTCCTTTCAAATCATTGGATTTTAAATGTATGTCCATTCTATCAATACTGATGCTCCTCAAAAGAAACGCGAAGAAAATTTTATGTTTCATTTATTTCGCACAATTTTGCCAAGCCTGATTTTTTAAAGGTCAGTTTTAAGTGACCATATCTCGGGCTTCTCTTAACATAGATGAACTATTAATGTGTCAGATGATGCAGAATTCATTTGAATTTAAATTGGTATGCTGCAAGAGTAGGTAATGCGAGGCTTTAACACGATGATTTGTTAATTACAATTTCAAGCTTTTATAAATTTTAATATATAATTATTTATTACTATTACGATAATGTGTTTATTGTATTATCTAAGAACAAACCAACAGTTAGCAATCTGACTGTCACTTATAAAGCATTTTCTCGGGGGCTCTCGTGGCCTAGAGGTAAGGTGTTGGCCTCTCATTCAAAGGTCCCGGGTTCGATTCCGGGTAGCGACCAAAACATTTTCTTCTCTAAAATTGTCTCCTTTCACCTCCTTTCCTGATCTCTAGCAATGTTCTGTTGTCTGC